CAGGAAAAAAAGAAACCTGCCTTTTTGCTTTTTATAATGTCCCTGGTAAGAACTTGTACGTTCTTGATTATTCTTGGTAGGCAGAAGTTTCAAATGATATAGAGGGATTACTTACGTAAAACCTGCATTCTAGAAATCGGTTGGGAATGTATGCTGTCTGGTTTTTTTTTCATCACAGGCTGTAGTATAAAAGAAAAGCTTTGTGTAATATAGCAGTGAAGAAAGTTGTTACCTTGCAACTAAATTTGAGGTCAGTCTTTCCTAGGTTTTCACGACTCAAAAGATTAGTTCAACTCTTTTTCTTTTACAACTACCAACAGATATCATTCTAGGACTTGTAGTGGCTATGAATTTTGGGGGGGAAATGGATTTAATCAGGTACTAGATCATGACACTTTTTGTGTTTTTAAGCTAAGTTTCTTAGTACTTTCCCAGTGCTAGTATCTTTTAAATCATGCTTTTGTCTTTTCTGCATGGATAGTTGAAGAAAGAATAGGCTTCTACCAATCTTTTCAAATTCTACTTACCAGACTAGCTTGTTACGTAAGAAGCTGTCATATTCTGAATGATATTTCAACATAATAGATTAAGAGTAATTTACTTTTTGGTCTTCTGCATTTAGCTTTTTATAATAGCTTTTTTTTTTTTTTTTTTGCTTTGGATGGAGGGAACTAGCTATGAAAACTTGGAGCAAATATTAAGTGCTTTATTATTGGCATGTGCTGTGTTTTTTCTTGTTATGATTGGATTCATATTGCTAAGTACTTCGTAACGCAGTGTTTTGCTACTTTTAGTTTTGTCTTGGTGCATTGTGGGTTTCCTGCCGCAGCTTCAAGGGGTTCTAAGACTCAGACCTGAGTGCTCTGAACATGCCAGCATTAATCCACACTGCTCCTTGCACAGCCAGTGAATTTGACTGAGGGTTTGGGCTGTCTGTGGTTGCTGTAGCAGTTGTATGTGGCTTAAAGAGAGGAAGATGAAATTGAGCTTTGAAGTGCGAAGAAAAGTTATCTGGAGAATGGAGCTCTGCCTTGCTGTTTAGTCAGGTAGCGCTGGCTGATGTAGGACAGGACAGCTGTGAAGAGTTCAGATGATCAGTAGTGACTTCAAGATTTTTTTTTTCCTGGACGTCTTTGCAAATTACATCCAAAAGCTGTAACAGCAAAGCACTAATGAAGAAGTTAGTTTCAATATTGAGAAGCAAGTGTCCTTTGCAAGCTGGAAACTTACTGCTATAACAGTAGCTATAAGTTTAGTAGTAGATTGTTCTTTATAGCCACTTGCATGAACGTTCACATTACTATGGTGAAGTTGGTCTGCTTACCACAGGTTGGCAATGCTCAGGATGTTGTCTTTCAATTGACTGTGCTTATGTTAATAACACTGCATTGCAAAGGGGTTGAGGTTTGGTTTGGTTTGGTTTTTTACAGGTTTGCTAGAATGAGTAATGTACCGGCATGTTCTTAAGATTCTAGCAGTCCCCCTTGTCACTGTTCCCATGAACAGCATATTCTGTTCAGCTTATCTAGCTTCTACTTGAACTAAATTTTTTTTTTGGAGCTGCTTGTCTTTTAACAGCAGACAGCATTTGTAATGGCAAGAACACAGCCGTGAGAGTATCAGTGATGCAAGTTCTGATACTTCTGTTCTCATGTTCCACCTGGAGAAAGTTTCTTTGATAACTGATGCACATAGTCAATATACTTAGTTACACTTTCCTTTCAGAAATTAATTTTAGTAGAAATGAAGGGAAATGTCACTTGGGAGTATTACTGGGAAGTAATACTCATTTTCACTCAGCTTTCTGCAGTTAGTTTTGCGACTTTCAAAAAAACTGAGTCCTGGGCCTGCATATGAAGTTATAAGAGATCAGCATAATACACTCCTACGATGTGACTTATGTATGAACTGTTTGCCATCAAAAAAAGGTTCAGTGCAGTCATTCAATGGAGAAATGACATGGTTAAGATAATCAGAACTATACAGGCAGACCAATAAAATGTGTAATAACAGTAGGAGGACAGCCATTAGTAGAGCTGCTTAAGGATGTGACAGTCTAGTAAACTCGCTGTGAGGCAGAATGACTTTCTTTTCTTGTTGAAGGTGGGCTATTTATTGTTGCCAAAGATGCCAGATTGTTCACTTTTAAATATACAAATATATAAATGGTCGCAATAGCAGGGCACAATAGCAGTGCAAGATAAATAAACCAAAACTATTTTACCTCTTTGGCTCTAGACAAGTCCTCATGTTAAACAAGGCTCAAACTCAGAATACTGTCTGTTTGTTGTTTATCTCTTCCCCTGTGCAGGTTGTCTTGGGGACACACAATTTTGTTTTAGATTTCGACGGTCTCCTGGAAGGAAAGTCTCATTTTGTTGTTTTCTGGACCAATTGGATAGAGAACTGCCAGTTTACTTAAAGGTTGGAAATAAGAAAAAAATGAAGTTAATTTCTTCTGGGTAATGTTAATTTATAGGTCTTCATGCTTAAATTTAATGCTTGAAAAACAAAATCTCTGAACTGGATGTCCTGAAAGATAAAAGCTCACCCAATGTTTTTTGTAGCATGTCATTATCGTAATAATTAACTAATTAGTTTTGTTAACTATTATCTAAGTTTTCTTAGTATGGCTTTTGACTGCAAAGAATAAATTGAGGAGCAGACCGATTTTGTTCCTGACTAGAAACCTGTAGATTGAATTGTAACAACCATTATCTTACTGGAAATCTGAAGTGCTTTATAACTTAAAAAAAAACCCCAGAAACGTTGAGATGTCTCTCTATGTTTTCACCCTTAATTTTTCGAAGATGGAGCAGTTATCTAAAAGAGGTAGTGGCCAAAAAGTTGTTCTCATGTCCTTACGGAATGGAGAGGCCTTTAACTATGCTAGTAGGAGTCTGATTCTCAAACTCAACTTAGATCTGTTATGTGGCAAATACTTAAATTCCTCTTTGTAGGAAGGATGAAGCTAATGTTTTATCTTTGAAATGTGAGAGCATGATTCCTTAGTACTCCAAGAATCTTTTATAAAACTAATACATTGAAAGACTAGTTTTTATCTTTCCAAGTCAGGGCTTTAAGATTTTTAACTGCTTAATTTTTTTAGTGTCATTCTGCAAAATTATGAGTGTTGACTTATTCCTCAGGAAATAAATTCTGTTTTTGTTTGCATGGTGTGTCAGGGGAATGTAGATATAAAAATAGTAAAGCCAGAAAGCACAGCTGTTTCCACACACTGGTGTTTTCTCTTTGAAGTACTTATTAAAAAAAATAACGCCAATAAACAGAGTAATCCTTCTAGTTTATTGTAGCTAATCAACTTTGGAGCTTGCAGGGAAATAAGCTTTTAAAATGCATATTGAATGCTTCAGAAAGAAGGGCAGTAGTAGGTTGTTGTACCAAATTCTTTCTTTTGCAGAAAGATCCAGCATACTACTATGGCTATGTGTATTTCAGACAAGTTCGAGACAAATCATTAAAAAGAGGCTATTTCCAGAAGGTAATTTCAATTCTCAATTTTCAGTTCTTTTAGGAAAATATTAATTCAGAAATTAATTAATTTTCAGTGACCTCAGAGGAGCAGGAAGAGTATCTTGTTCTGTTAACTAAATTCATTGTTGATTTATCATAATTTGGTCTAGTTTTACATCAGTGGTGCTATGTTCCAGCTGCACAGAAATTTTTTTTGTGTTTAAAAAAAAAAAGTCATGAGTTGTTCGTTTGCAGTTGCCTGTAGTCAAATGTGTGGTTGGCTTGCATGTGTGAGAAGAAACACACTTGACGTTCTCCGAGGATAACCAGTAGAACTGCAAGAGAATCGAGGGAAAGGGTTAACTTAAAATTTTATTTTTGTTTTGTTACTCTCTATTCCAGTCGCTGGTCCTCATCAGCAAGCTGCCTTATGTCCATCTCTTTCGCACCATGCTTAAGCAGATAGCGCCAGAATATTTTGAAAAAAGTGAAGCTTTCCTGGAAGCAGGTAATGGTACAATTGTGTTGTTCTGGAAGAGCTCCTATAATATTACATACTTCTTTTGGAGAAATAGCAAACAACACTGTCACATTCTAGTTCGTGTTTCTGTCTTCTTGCAGGGTAGAGGGTTGAAACTTTAGCAAACTGGCTGGATTTCTAGATCATTGAACAGAGCTATTCTAATTTTGGATCCTTCATGGGACAGCTGAAGCTCCCCGCTAAAAAACATCTAGGGTTTGTTGTGTATTTCAGGCCAGCTGTTCAGCACAAGTAGCTGATGGCAATCCTTAGTTTGCACTCTTCACAAATTGAGTCCATTGGGGCATTCTGACAACTTCCATTAAGCGACTGTACAAATGTGATCTCGCACGGGGGAGTGTTGTATGGTTTGGTTTCTTTTGACCAAAGGGAAAAAGCAGCAAAGCAGCACTGGTAACAGGTGCCTCAGCCTTACTTTAGAACTTTAAGATCCAGAGCGTGCCAAATGGGCAAGTTATTTGCTCTTTGCCTAGAAGTGCTGTGTTCTTTCTACTGTGTCAGCCCTAGACAAAATTCATGTCTTTGTGCTTTCACTGAGCAGCAATTTGTGGAAACCATTCTTGATGAAGGAATTGCATTTCTTAGTCACCTGTAGATAAACACATTTTTTTGACGTGTCGTATTATGAACAAAATGAGCTCTGTAGAAACCACTAGAATTAGTAATGATACTCAAAAATAAAAAAAAAATGTGGAAAAACTTTCTAGCCAAGCTGGAAAGCTGGCTTTTTCCTTAACTACTTGTGTTTATCTGTTTTGTAGTAGCTAATGTACATAAATGTCTGTGATCTTTTCAAAGTTTGTTAAGACGTACTTTCATGGTTTCTTATGTAACATTTTTTCAACTAAGAAGCAACAAGTCTAGTTGCTACAAAAAATGGAAGACAAGAGGATACTGTTTTCTTGAAATGAAAAACTATAGTTCTAATGAAATAATACATTAAGAATGTCGAAAAGGCTGTAAAACTTTAGAGTGATCAAGAGATAAGTAGAACCGTTGTGGGCTATCAGCACTAATTTAAAATTGTAGTGTGCGCAAAGGTGACAACAATGTCACAGGTTATAGCATATATAAACTAGTTCTAAATTATACTCTCTTTCTTTAAGTTTGTAGCGATGTTGATCGTTGGCCACCACCAACTCCGGGGAAAATACTGCATTTGCCTATTATGGGTATTATAATGAAGGTAAATACTCCTGCACTTACTTTTTTCTGAGGATGTTTTCCCCTCCATTTACTGCATAGGCACTCACTGCGTTCTGCCTTGTTTTCAGTGTCTCATACTTCAGAACAGGAATAGATGTACAATCCGCTCAGAGTAAAGGTCTGGGAGATCTTGATTAGGTTCCTTGATTGGTGGGAGGAGGGGAGGATCTTTTATGGTGCATAGGTTAACGTGTAATTTTTGTAGATAATAAAAAGCCATGTTTCAATACAACTATTATTTGTATATAGACTGTATGTCTATATTATCCTGCTGGAATATGCATTCTAGAAGACTTCAATGCTAATTATATTTGTCAAATCAAACATTAAGTAACACTTCAGAATGCTGAGAGTTAAGTTCCAGTCAAGCAAATTAAATATATTGATGAAAATCATTCTTGTTCCTAAAGTTTGACAAGTAAAAATCTTTTTTGGCTCACACACCAGAAATTAATTTCTTGGTCTGTTGATAATTTTCAATGAAAGAGAAAAATGTTTGAAGAAAGCTATTAAAGAGGTTTTATCTAGTACATGGGGAAGAACTGTAGAGGTTAAATGGTGGCTAAGAACTGGGCCTCTTGGAGCCACAGCATCTTCATTCGAAGTGCAATCAAATGGGTTTGATGGATCCAGAGGTTACAATTGGAAGTACATTCTAAGCAGATACTCTCAAGTTATGGCTAGATGCACGTACATCACCAGGGAGAGGAAGGAGAAGTTTCTGAAGCTGTTCTGAAAGCACAAATTTAATAAAGCAGTGTTCTGGATGCTGGATGATAATGATAAGTGTCAGATATGTCTTGTTTGGGTCTTGCCTGCATTTTTCTCATCGGTAATTCTTATCCATGAGAGTTGAAATTGTGTTCCTAAACTGAGTAAGACCATAATTACCATCTTCAATGGTATTGTTCCTGTTTGGTTTTTGTTTTCTTTACACTGTTTGGGCAGTCAGTTTTAATTGTTGTGTATAAATTACATCCATTTGTGCATACCAGCTTCCAGTATGTTTAAATTTGTAGCACTCAAGACTTAACAGATGCAGACTATGAGGTCAGAAAAATATATTTATGTTATTCAGTCTATTTGGATTCTGCCTCATACCCATCAATGTCTGATGTTTTAGGAGAGGATTTTTTCTAAAAGTAATTCTGTACCACCTTAAAACCCCATAACCTTATTTCAGATTGTTCACTCCAACATTTAAATGCATTATTATTGTAATAGTTGTGACTAATGTTATCTGTAGTCTCTTTTAACTGAAGTGTAATTTTCATATTCTAATATACATTTTGCAGTGTAGTACTACATAGTAGTGCATATGACTCCCGTAGCAATGATCTGTAGACTTCAGCTGTGTATTCGTTGTTATGTGGATGTTCTGTAGAGTAAAATAAGCATCATACTGTAGTGTATCCTCTTTAAATATCACATATTGTCTGTAAGTCAGCATTTTAAGTCTCTGCTGAATTCAGTACAAGGGAAAAAAAAAATCTTTCTTTTTCTTTCAAAGTTGCGGATTCCAACATATCGTGACAAGCCTGGAACAACGCCAATAGTACAGAATATGCACCAGGTAGAGATTAGATATTTGTATTGCATATAACCCCAACACAAAGCCAAATATCTGCCTTCCTTCCTTTTACTTTAAACTTGTTTATAAAAGATTGGTAGCGAATCCTCATATACTTTGATAATAATGAAATCCACAGTCTTTGAAACTTTTAATGGAGAACTCTAGAGTTGGATTCTTCGTAGAAAAAGTATTCTAACCCAGTTACCCCAAGTACTTTAGAAGAGAGGTGTCCAGCACCTGGAAGAGGATAGTTGGCTGACAAAATTACTGAACTTGAATATCCTTTTAATGGGTGAAACTATACTAAAATATTTTTTTTTTTACGATGAAAATTGAATGAAAAATCTTTAGACGTAGAAGGTGAATATAAACCAAATCTGTCTGTGCCTTCATATGCTGTGTGAGAGTTGTTTGAAACAGCTTCGGTATTTTAGATCTTTTCTGAACTGAAAGTTGCATACTGTAAGTGGTCTGTGTGTTGGGGGATATCTTGCTTTTAGCACACAAAAATAATCACTTTTGGAGATAATGTAGTACATACTGCAGTAGTACAGTAGTGGTAAATAATTAGGGTATATACCATCTACTGTCTGTAAACATTTAAGGGAAACTATTTCATTTAATACCTAGGTATTCTGGTGACTAAAACCCAAGCATTGCGGTGTCTTTTAGGCAGATGCTCAGATCTCCATGGCTTTACCGACTGTTCATGAAGTGGATCTTTTCAGGTAGGAGTTTGGACTGATTTATTCCTAGTTGTGAATTCCCACAAGTCAAAGATTTATGGTGGTTCCGTAACACACATCCCATACTTGCAAGCTAACATTTATCAGTATTGTTTTTGATATTCTTTTTCTTTAAAGCTGGCTAAAACAATTCAGACAACGTGCAGGCTGAAACTGCAATAAATAAGCAAGTGCATTAAATGTTCCATTTTACAAGAGTATTTTATATTTTTCAAATCACTGTTAAATACTACTTCAAACTTCCTTTTTATCCAATTTTTACTGAAGTACATATTTCTTCTGGTTATGTTAAGTGTACTAAAATACTTCAATCTGTTTTTAGGTGTTTCTGTCCAGTGTTCTTTCACATTCAGATGCTCTGGGAACTAGTACTGCTAGGAGAGCCACTTGTCGTGATGGCACCATCACCATCAGAATCTTCAGAAACCGTGTTGGCACTTGTTAGGTAAATGTAGTGGAGCTTCCTAACTAATCACCAAGTGAGTCATTGTAGATTGCAGCTCAATGCAACTTCATTTGATCACAATATAACAAAGCATTACAAATTTTAGATTGGCTTGTTTCTTTCATGAAACGTTGCACTATATACATAGAACAAGCTTATCCTCTTTCTACCTTGCAGCTGTATTTCACCGTTGAAGTACTGCAGTGATTTCAGGCCATACTTTACCATACATGACAGTGAATTCAAAGAATATACAACTCGCACGCAAGCCCCGTAAGTAAATCAAACTTTGTTATGAAGTTGTTGCTCAAAGCCACTTGTAGCCATAAATCTGTTTTAAGATACTGCTTAACTATTCTGAGTTTCTATCATTAGAGAATACATTTAGACTCCTTATTTATAAGATTTATCTTAAGGAGCGCAGTAGTTAGCTGTTTTAAATTTTTGCTCCAGTTAGGTAGGATAAAGAAATTGTGAAACAATGTAATAATTTAACCATATTTGAGCTTCATTAGTATGGGTTTGTCTATGCAATACCAGCTCCATAGTAGCTCCTGGGATATTCTTCTGTCGTTGTTTTTGGTTTTAAGCAATTACTAATCAAAGTGACTTCTAGAATTCAACATCCATACAGCTGTTTTGTAGAGTTAATCCAGACGGTGTCCTAGTTGAGACAATAATTTAAACTGAGTATCTCTTCATTAAATCTGTTAAAAAGATGTTGTAAATAACTCAGAAATCAAGATAATTTTTTTTTAAGAGCATGAGTTTACAAAAACAACTCTGAAACTGCTTTAAGGACACACTTTTCCCCTTTTTTTAAATACTGTTTTTTTAATCCTACTCTATTTTGAGAGCATACACCTCCAGTATTTCTTATTATATGTTATTTAAATGCAACTTGGTCTGGAAATGGAGTGCGTGAGTTTAGATTCACTGATCTTTTTAAAAACAATTTTTTTGTAATGTCTGAACAGGCAGTGGTGGTTGTGTTGGGGTTTGTTTTGTTTGTTTTGGGTTTTTTTTACTGTATTTTTCCTCTCAATAAAAGTGTTGCCAGAGACACAGCAGTGGAAAAATATACAAACACAGGCTTTATGTTTAGATTGTATTCCATGGGAATGGTTATGCAGTATGTAATTTAATTTCTAAAAATAATTCCATGAAGAATTTGGTTATATTTTAGTAACCCATGTTTAAAAATTGCATGTGCTCCTCTGTAGCAAAATAGAAAGGTCGTTCGGTATGTATGTTAGTATTTGAAATACAGCTAGAATCATTCTGGCTTTCTTATAGGGGAAAAAAAAATTGAAAGATTGGAAATAGGCTTTTAAAGCAGTGACTCCCAAGAAAGGGAAGAATCCAGATGTTGCAGATTCTGCGTATTTTATAACCTTTGGTGAGAGGAGAACAAACAGTATTTTTCATCTTGATGTTTTGATTTATCCTGCCTTTTCAGAAATTACTTCAGTGGTTTAAAATCAGAATTGGTTCTTGTAAATATGGTGCATTAAGGTTCCTAAAAGGGACCAAGTAGCTTACCAAGTCTTCCTATTGTATCACTTGTAGCAGTGAAACAAGGTTCTACGTTATTTGCTACCGGTTTACCTTGACCTGGAGAATTACTATTTGTGTGTGTGTAAATGAAAGCCTTACTTGACTGTAACCGTTGGTCTTTAGCCCTCTAGTTAGTGAAAGAATATACATTTTTGTATATTTCACACAATTCTGTGTGCAGCTTGCTTTTTGGTTCACTCAAAATAGGCATGAGAAGATTTTGCGTTAAGTTAGGCTAGACTTGATCCTTTCCTACGGAGGAGTGCCTATTGTTTGGGTTCTTTTGAGACTCGGTTTGTTTCTTAAGTTGTGACCATGAAAAGAACATGAGATAAAACATCATAAATTGATTTTTCAGAGTACCACAAAGGAATCTGTTGAGACCTTTTTATGGACACTGGTCTTTATCATTGTTTTGGAAGAGAGACTGTAAATCATGTGTGGTAACACTGAAAAATCATTAACATTTGCAATAGTGCAAATGAGTTTAACAGGACTACAGAAAAAGCAAAAAATAATGAAACTGAAGTCAAATGAGTGAGGAAGAATATTTAATATCTGGAGTAAAGTCTTTTCAGGTGAACATATTTGAACAGCAGTAGGACTCAAAAGAAGTGATTTTTCTGGTGAAGGTTGAGCTAGTGACAAGCAAGAAAAGACTTCTGAGGAACTGATGCAATTTCCTGCTGCACATTCTAAGATGGAATGAAGATATAAAAATTGCTATTTCCGTAGCCCAGGCATTATACTAGCTACAGAGCTCTCTGATCAGATTTTTGTCCTGTCTGTGAATGCTTAATGAGCTTTTATTGAGAGAGAGAGAGAGAGATACATAGTTACAATCGGCAAGTGGAGGGAGGAACAGTCAAAAATGTTTGTAGATTAACATAGAAATTTATGCCCAATTGCCACCATGATATAGCTGAAAGAATTGAATAAAAATGTAAAAAAAGATTAGTCATCCTTTTTTTTTCCCTGCCTTGCCTTGAGAGAGGAAACTTAAGGATGGTGCACAAAAGTGTTTAGAATTTGGGATTTTAAAAACCAATCTTAAGAAATTATGATAACGTGTTTTTAATACGGCAGTTCCAATGAGGCTTGCAGTTACGCTCTCACCTTAGCTAATGTTTGCCTATAAAGTGGATGGCAGACACTATTCTGAAAAAATATGTTGCTACTTCATCACGTTAATGCTATAAATCCCAAATTCTGCAGCTCTATGCTGTAGCAGCAGCCCTGTGCTGTTACTGCCTCTTGTTCTCTGGGTCCCCCGATGCATCCTCGAAGCCAGGTTCTAAGCACAGAGTAGCCAGAAAAATCTGACAGGTTGGGAGCTTGGGCACAAGGCTATTAATGTGCTTGTACTTTATCACTTGATAACTGCTTTTTAACAAAGAATGCTGAAGTGTTGAAAAGGAAATAGATATTAAGTATCTCTTTTTTTTTAATCATGTCATCTGAGCAGTAGCTCTACTGAGAAGTCTCATACAAACAGCAGTCATGTTGGCATGCACATTGAACTACTGAGAGTTTGTTATAATCAAAACTTGAAAAATAGCAATTTTTCTTTCAAATAGGAGACAGATTCCTGCTCGTTTTTAAAAAAAGAAAAAAAAACAAAAACCAACCAGATAATACCCTGGTCTTATCATTGCAAATGGGCAGAATTTAGCCAGGAGTCTAAGCAGATGTCACTTTTATTCTGCACTGCCATTTGAACTTTAAGATACATCTGTCTTGCTATTATCTAAAACTTAAAAACTGATAAACATACAGTGCTCTTGCATGCAACTTAAAATGTAACTCGTAAAAACAAAAGGAGAATAATTTCAAGTTAAGAATTAAAGTTCACCTTTTGTATTCGTTAAGACAGAAGCTCTTACTGTCATATTTTAAATATTGTCATTATTTTTCTAGACCATCTGTCATTCTAGGGGTGACGAATCCTTTTTTTGCTAAAACACTTCAGCACTGGCCTCACATTATCCGAATTGGAGATATTAAACTTCCAGGTAAAGTACAAATATCTTCTACAATCCTGTGCAACAAGATCTAACTGAGTGCTTATTTATTTACAAACTTATGTAATTTAGTTCAATTAATTTAGTTTAATATTCACCAAATCCTTGTGGATGTAAATGTGTCAAATGAAATTAGGCTCTTGAGTACCGTATGTCTTGTATTGCCAAATCTAGTATATTAAATGCAAAAGGTGGCAATACTCATTAATAATAATGTTTTATCTTTTGCACAACCCGTTTTTTGTATTTCTACCAATAAAGTATTAACATGAGAAAGATCATTTGTTACCGATGTTAATTTTAGAATGAGTAGAATGTAATAAATCAGTCACAGCAGGTGCACAGAAAGTAAAACCCATGTGAAAACTAAGTTTGTATGTTGCAATAATATAAAAAGTTGTTTGACAGTATTTTGATAATATATTTCTAATCTGGCAATATTCCAGTAATCATTAATTGTTAAAGTTGGATAGTTTCCTTTACATGATTGAATAGAATTTTAATGTAATCTTTGGATAACATGTCAGTTGCTTGCCTGTAATAAAATACTGCAGTACTCTATTATGTGAAATTCCTGAATGCAGCTGTTTGCTGTGACAGGTTCACTATTCTGTTCTGAAAGTGGGAATGCATAAATATCCAGTTAGGATAATACACCATGAAATTCATTTTTGTAGAATAAGTTACATTCAATTTCCGAATACACCAAATTAATTAAGAATTATGTACTGTGTTTGATAGAATTAGGCAAGGTTTTGCTTTACTTTAAAATAATCATTCCTGTCTGTGCTTCAGAATATCTGTGGGAGTTCAGGGTTGTATGGGGAGGAGTTAGCTAGCTGCTGGGTAGTTAAGGTTTGGAAAATAGAATCTTTATTAAGCTATTAAATCTCTGCAAAGCCATATACACAGGTTGCCTTCAAATTTGATACACAGTTTCAAGTATGAAATTTTAAAGTTTTGGTGCAACAATGTGAAATGCTTAGTCAGGAAGTTCTAGAGATGTATCTGTCTGAGCCAACTAAAAATTTAAATTTTATTTCTTTAGGGACAAAGAGAGGGCCTATGACTTTTATTTTTTTCCCCTTTTCTCCCTACTCTGCAGTTTTAATAGCAATTTATACTATTATCTTTTCTGAATACAAGCATCCAACTAGATCTAAGAGGAATGTTCTGCTGAGACTGCAAGACTGTTAACAGGGTTTAGGGTCTCCTGGCTGGAGAAGGATATATTTGAAAAACAAAATAAAACAAAAGTTAGTTTGGCCTATGGAAAAGGAGACTTAAATTCATTTTCTTACACCACTTAATCCATGGCTACTGTTTTAATTTCTCATATACAATTTTTATTTTGGCCAAGGTACTAAAGATTTGTTCCTGAAAGCATTTACCGTAAGGGGAACAAAGGAAGATAGAATAACATTTAAAAGTAATGAAACAGTCATTCACTGCTATATAGTCAGTATTTTTCTTTGGCTGCTTTGATTCAGAACGTTGTCCTTTTGGGTTTTTGGTTTGTTTTCGGGTTGGGTTTTTTTCCTTTCTTCAACAGGGAATCCTTATATAGAGTGAAAAGCCTGTATGCTTATTCATATGTTTACTGGATGTTTCAGGATATATACTTGAATGCTTGTCGGTGTTTCTAATGCTTCTTGGAATATTAGGTAGTCTTCTAAATGAAAGTAGCAGTTTCTAAAAATCAGTGCGCATTAACTGTAGTATCCATTAATCGGGATTAAGATTTCAAGAAAGGTGGCTTTAAATGTTTTGGCAGGTGAAGTTCCAAAGCAGGTGAAAGTGAAAAAACTGAAGAACCTAAAAACTTTGGACTCCAAACCTGGTAATAAGTTCCTTCAGAGTCAAATTACCCATATTTTTATTTTAAAAAGCATACTGCGTTTTTTCCTTTAGCTATACGCTGCTTTTTTTTTTCTTTAGGTGTTTATACCTCCTACAAGCCATATTTGAATAAAGATGAAGAAATCGTTAAACAGTTACAAAAGGTAATATTGCAAGTCTCTTCTTAATGGAAATTTATGTACTGTCATACAGTGGCTTCTCTTAAGGCTGAGCTCTGTCTGAGTAACTGAAATGAAACTGGATTCTGATTCCTTTGCCCCATTTCATAACTGAATTGATAGGTACCCACCTTCATTGTAGAAGAAGGACTGATGCCTTGTTAGCAGTTTCGATAACAACATCAATGGTAGAACTCAAGAAGTTAGCTTAATAATTTAGAGAATTGAAGTGATCGATCAGTTCATCTGGTCTGGGTTTTCCACCCTCTGCCATCCCCCTGTAGTCTCTTTGGTCTAGAAATCTCATGCATGAGGTGTGTAAGAGTCAGAGCTTTCAAACATTTAACAGATTTGCACTAAGGTTTTTTTAATAGACCTTTTTCTTCCCTTTAGTTTCTTTACATGAAAATAAAAAAACAGCAGCTGAAGGGATGAATATCTGTGCAAAAGGACTTGATGCTATTGCTTTCCTTTCACTGTTCAGAGTAGGGGGTGCTATGTGTAAGCTTATGGCAGATGAATACAGAAACACTGGAATAAATAATCTTAAAAAAATAATTATATATTTTGGGGTAACCAACTTATTGTGATATTTTATTTCTATTTTTTTAAGGGTGTACAACAGAAACGTCCTACAGAAGCACAGAGTGTGATTCTTCGACGGTATTTTTTGGAATTGACGGAAAGTTTCATTATTCCATTAGTGAGTTCTTAGACTAATGTTTGGGTTTTTTTACGTATGGTGTTATGCCTGACTGAGTAAGTCCAGTAACTATCCAGTAACTAGCAGTGCACACCTGGGGTCAACACTGGTTCCAGTACTGTTCAACATCTTCATTAGTGATCTGGACGATGGGCCGGTGCGTACCCTCAGCAAGTTTGCTGATGGTACAAAAGTGGGAGGAGTGGCTGATACACCAGAGGGTCGTGCTGCTGTTCGGAGGGATCTGCGCAGGCTGGAGAAATGGGCTGACAGAACCTTATGCAGTTCAGCAAAGAGAAGTATGAAGTCCTGCACCTGGGGAGGAATAAACCTATGCAGCAGTATATACTGGGGGCCACCAGGCTGGAAGGCAGCTTTGCAGAAAAGGATTTGGGTGTCCTAATGGACATGGAGTTGAGTATCAGCCAGCAATATGCCTTTGAAGCAAAGAAGGCCAATGGTATCCTGGGCTGTGCTGGGAGGGCTGTTGCCAGCACCAGGTTGAGGGAGGTGATCCTTCCCCTCTCTTCAGTACTGGTCAGGCCACATCTGGAGTATCATGTACAATTCTGGGCTCCCCAGCACTAGAGAGAGATGGAGCTACTGGAGAGTCCAGTGAAGGGTCACTAAAATAATTGAGGGACTGGGGCATCTTTCATATGAGGAAAGGCTGAGAGAGCCGAGACTGTTTAGCACAGGGAAGAGAAGGTTGGGGGGATCTCATCAATGTATATAAATGTATATAAGTCTGACGGGAAGATAGAAAGACGATGAATCCAGGCTCCTTTCAGTGGTGCCCTGTGACAGGCAATGGGCACAAACAGCAACACAGGAGGGGCTGTCAGCCATCAGGAAACACTCTCTCACTGTGAGTGTGACAGCACTGGAACAGGTTAGGTTGCCCAGACAGGTTGTGAAGTCTCCATCCTTGGAGATGTTAAAAAAAATTGGGTATTTTCCTGGGCAACCTGCAGGTATGCTGGAGCCGGGGGAAAAAGAGAGGAGTTGGACCAGATGACCTCCAGATATCCCTTCCAAACTCAACCATTTTGTGCTTCTGTGAAGAATATTTGAGATACAGACATTAACCATTGAGCGATGTCTTGAGTTTTCTAAAATACTGTAGTCTTACAATTTTTTAATTTTCATACTTAGCATAAAAATTATGAAGGCCATAGCTTAATTTCAGAAATGAAACATTTATATACCTAGACAAAAGATTCAGATCTCGGAAAGGAATGTTTCTTTGTGTATGTTGCTAGACAGCATTTTCAGATGTTTGCTTGTGATGTACTGTGTAGCATTTATGCAAAGCAAAACTCTGTGTGTGTATTTTAACAGGGAGTAAGAAGGAAATTTCTTTAACCCTTCGTCAACATTTGGAACCCCTCTGTTCGCTATTAATTTTTTTTTTTTTTCCATTTAAGTGTAAAGGTATTTCCCTTGACCTTGAGAAATGTCAATATTGGAAAGGTAGAGTTGGAGAGTACTTTGCAATGAGAACAACTCTGTAAGTGTGTAGTCTTGTAGCAAATTACTATTTGCTATGATAGCTGAGGGGATACTACAGGGTAATCTTTCTATTAATATGTGAAAGAGCAACCAATTCAACTGGTAAATTAGACTGGCTTAAATTTTTTCCCTGAAATATTTATTGTCTTTTAGTAGTAGTGCTTTTCCATGCAAATCACTGAAGTTCGGAGAATTTTTCCCTTTTCCAGTCATATTTGTGCACTCACTGCTGTTATGCTTGGCATGAGAAACTGTGTCTTGCACATCTGTTCCTTTCATCTGCCTTGTCCAGACAGAGCATTTCCTTACTTGTCTTCTAGGCAATTAATTTACTTCTCTTACTTCTTCACAGCCTTACTTATCTTTGCAACTCTGTTTTTACCTATGTGCTATCTGACTTTCAAAGAACAATGCTTGTCTCCCAAGGCAGACTGTGGGTTTTGTTTTGGCTTTCTATTTTTGTTTGTTGATTTCGGAGTTTTTTGCCATTGGATTACCTGCAGTAGACAAATTTCAGCAGTGAAACCTCCTTGGGCAGTTGTTTTATGGCCTCAAGGCAGCTGTTTCCTCAGATTACTGCAGTACTTGGAGGATTTTCAAATCTTGCGCCTACGTCAAGCATGAACAAAAGTTACAAGAGACTTTTGAGAAAAAGGCAATGTCTCCACTTAGATTCAGAGCATCTAGAACTGGCAAAGGGATTATTATGAAGCTCAGCTTTATCTCTGTCTCATTTCCAGGCAGGAAATGTTAATGGCCAACATGATGTGGCAGGGGCTACAGAATTCACTTCCTCAAACCTGGTCTCAGTTTTCCTCATTATTACTGCTGTTTCAGAAAAAAATGGGCAAATTAAATTTAGTATGGATGGCTATTTCAAACACTTAAATACCTTGAGGGGGGGGAAATCTCATATATAGAGCTCTTCAATAGATCATAAAATCAAAGGTTAACTGGGACATCTGATCCAACCCCACTGCTTAGAACAAGGCCAATTTGAATATATAGCTAAATATCACACCCTGCTTTACAAGTATAGGCATAAACTTTTGGACAAATTCGACACATTTATGTCCACTGATTCTCGAGAAGGGTTTGATCATTACCCTCATGGTTTGTCTTCCTCAGAGGCAGTAAATGCAGCTTCTAGATCGTTGGTGACTGCAGTGATCACGCACAGTACTGCTCTTTCCCCAAGACTTGGGTTTTAGAATATAAGACGTTTCCATGATGATCTGCCATTTCTCAGTCCCACTCTGCTTGGCCATAAGTGTGATTACTGTTTGGAATCACCCATGATACGAAGGTACCTGTGGACTGTCACCAAAGAAAAGAGAGATTATTTACTCGTGGCTGGAGTTCAGGAGATACATATTACACGTATACATTTGCTTCCTGTCCTTCTTGAATCTTGCTGACGTAAAGTTCCATAGTTGGAAAATACAAATGGTATTAGATAAGCACCTTCTTATGCTCTCATGTGGTAAACATGCATGACTCCACCCTGTACCAATACTTAGAAGAGAAAACGCTGTGGTCACAAGTGATAAGTAAACATACACGTGGACTGTGTATCTTTAATACCGGTTATGCAAACAACCTTTCTTTTGCCTTTCCCTAGGAACGTTATGTGGCAAGCCTAATGCCTTTGCAAAAATGCATATCACCATGGAAGGTAAGGAAATATAATTTGAATGAGCTGGAAATTGGTGATTAGAGAAAACAGTTATGGTATGCTAATGATTTTTTTTTTCTTTCTTTCTCTAGAGTCCACCACAGCTCAGGCAGTTTAGCCAAGATGACTTCATGAAGACACTGGAAAAAGCGGGACCACAGCTCACATCAGGTTTAAAAGGAGACTGGATAGGACTTTACAGGTTATTTCTTTCATCAGCATAAAAAATATCGAAAAAGAGAAATCAGTAATATGAATTATTGCTGTTGCTGTTTTCCTGAGCAAACTTACTATCGGTGTAGATTTGAGTAAGACTTATTTCTAGACTATATGCTTTAATAGGAATTGGTAGTGCTTAGTATACTTTACTTGCTGAAGTCTGTTTCTCTGTAACCTGTTAATGGTTTTCATAAGATGCTACTAATATTGCAGGTCTCTGTATACCAGTATAATGTGTGGGTTTATTTCTGGTTCTAACTTTATACCTCTTTCCAATCAAACAGAGATAAAAATGAGGATATTTCAAACTGAGCCTTGCTTTTTTTCCTGACAAAATTCCTTATCTTTCTTGTCTTTCAGACCCCTTTTCTTTATATTGTTTTCTCAATCTTTGTCTTGATTAAGAGAAGCACCTGTTATACTCCATTTCAGAATATTACATTTTTTTGAAAGTAAACAGAGAAAGGGTCCCAATATCTTCTTCAGCCGCAAACGTAATTACTTTACATTTGATGACACAGAAAACAGAGCGTTATCAAAATTGTAATTAAAATGTATTTTGTTTCGGTGTTTTATCAGGCATTTTTTGAAATCACCCAACTTCGATGGTTGGTTTAGGAGCCGGCAGAAAGAAATGACGCAGAAGTTGGAGGCCCTTCATTTAGAAGCACTCTGTAATGAGGTTAGAAAAACATGTGCCTATTATTACATTTATCATCTTGTAATAAAAATATATTCTCCCTCAAGTCCATTTTACTTCTGCTATTTTCATTGATTGAACATTAAAATGTTGATAATTTTGTCAAGCCTGATTTAGCAAAACATGAATTTTTTAACCAAGTACAAGCTGGAACTAACAGCAAAAGCGAACAATATGAAATACAGTTCATTTTTTTTTTTTATAACGACTGTCATAATTTGTAAAATATCTTTAGTCCTTTTTTGTTTTGTTGTGTATTTTGAAATTGAATACCACCACCCCCCCCAAAAAATATTTTTTCCCCTCTTATTTGATAATGTTATTTTATTCAGCTTTCCTTTCTTGGTGTTCCAACACATTTTTAGTTGTGATATAGTTTGTAGCTTTGAAGGTATAAACTCAATGAGTACCATAGAAAATTGACAACTAATTAGATATGGATAGGAAATAAACGTACAGCTGATCCATAGTAATTGAAAGCTGAGAAGCGAAATCTGTTTATTGATATATAACAAAATGCCACATAAACGATCACGTTGTAAGATCCATTCTTTACTTAAGAAGCTGAAGTGGGTATCAGTATAATTTGAGTTGGAACAACTGATAAAGAAAGGTATCGCAAGAGGAGAGAAGAGATTGTACAGCTAAAGAGGAAATAGGAAGAACAAAAAAAAAAAGCACCACAGCTTTTAAACAAACAAACAAAAAAAGGGCTGGTTATTTTTAAAAAGCCATTGATTTTTATCCCTTGCCTTGTCAATTCCCAAACGGTACATTGTGGCAACCCAAACAGATTGTTCAAATAGAGCAGCCCTAATAATTTGCAATAGCTAGGTCAATTATATCACTTAGAATCTACCCAACTATAGTTGACATTAACTCGTTGCAAAGAAAAGGGAATGTGTCACAAATTTATTACCGACTCTGCTCCTTATTAGCTTTTTCTTTTAATCCAGGTGTTACCATCTTTCTGTACACAAGTAAACGTCTCTAGTAGGTGAATAGTACAGGGGTAGGGGAACAGAACTTCCATAAGAAAATTCATGTAATGAATGTATTTTACTAGTTATCAGCTATGTGATCTCCTTCAGTGCCCTAGAAACAAGAAGTGCTGCCTGGCACTGTTTTCATATTTCATTGTGCTGACAGATCTGATTTGGTAAACATTCACTGCCATTTTGCATTGTAGATGCTATTTTTGAAATGAAACCCGTTTGGCATGACTTTTTGGTATTTGTTTGTATTGTGTTTGTGTCCTAGTTTCCTGTTTTGCTCAGTCCTGGTCAAACATGCAAATCAGATTTTGCAGTTCATAGTAGAGACAGTACATGAGTAAAATGAGTTTAGTAAATGGCTTGAGAATAAGGGAAAGGAGAAGACCCATTCTGAACAGTAGGTGTAAATATTACTTTTGAAAATTATATATGTTGCCATAAATATTTAAATTTTTAATTTTTCTTCTTTTAGAATTTGGTTTTCTGGAGTCAGAAGCATACTGAAGTAGAAACGGTGGATCTTGTCTTAAAGCTAAAGAATAAACTGGTAAGTAACTGAATTGAATGTGGCTGACTTGACTAGATAAAAGTATTACATAGTTGTATTTACAGGTACTTAAATGAAAATATTCTTCAAGATCTAGGTAGCTCAAGGAATCAGTTTCTGGTTTTTAAAACAAAACCAGTTAATTTCAGCCATGACTGAAGAGTTAGCTGGCCTCCCAACATCATTCAGCTATGTTGGAAGCGTTGCACTGATCTTGTCTTTTTAAAAATAGTTGGAACTTTGTGACTGATCTGAGTGGGAGCAGGGCTGAATCCCCAGGGAAGCACTAAACCAAACTTTCTTGTGGCTACTGAAAGTCCAAACTGGTGTTAGCTCATGCTGTTGTGTATTTGTTGAGGAAACCTGCTATTGTCCAAATTCCTACTCAGTCAGCAAATGAGGAATTCATTTTCCAGATTTGTTGTGTCTTAAAGTAAACTTGCATTTTTAGTAGAAATCATGTTTTATTGTACCTTTGCAGTTGCAGGCTGACAGAGAACAGCTTCCTGTGAAAACTGAAACACTGAAAAAGCTGCAGACACACATCAATGATATTATATTAGCACTTCCAGATGACTTACAGGACATCTTGCTCAAAACTGGCACAACATGATTGCTACTGGGATTTTTGTGTACAGAAAACAAAAGGCAAATGTAGTATCACAGAAGACAGTGGCTTACCAAGTTCAGAACCCAGCTCTAAATAGTATATTAACACTACAAATGGACTGTACCAATAGTATAGCCCACTATACTATTTTCACTGTTTTTTCCACTTAAATACCAATGCAACTAAAGGAATTCCTGTGTCTAATAATGTTTGAAACAAGTGCTCTTAAAGAAAAATCTGTGGATATATGAAACTATTCCACAGTACAGGACCATGGTGCAGTGCTGGCATTGCAGAATGTTTTCCAATTGGTGCTGCTATACCCAATGCTGTTAACTCAGGGGTAAGCAATATTGATCCTCTACTGTCCTGTTGATGTAGTACCTGACTGCTTAGCTTTTTGTTTTGTTTCGTTTTTTCTTTTAGTTGTCATCTCGTGATAAGTCCAACTGACACACTATGTGACTTGGTCAGAATACGTTATGGTTGAAGTATTTTACTGGTAAACCATTGCTTTCAAAACTGCTTTGGGGCAGCTGAAATAATCAGATTGGTTCTTAATTTTCTTCCTTTCTCCTTCTTACCATATTTCCAAAACCATATTAATTTAGCATCTTTAAAGACAAGAAGGCAGCTGACAAAAATTTCCTGAAGAGAAGTCTCTTCCATTCAGTGTCAGTTAATTAGGGTGCTCTTAATCACATGCCTTAAATATAAAATACTAATTGGTGGTTTTAAACTGCTGACATTCAGGATTTAAAGTGGATTGCTAGTGTAAATGTAAGCATGCAGTATTCATCACAGGAAATAAACACAGTGGTGTTCTAATACGGATTTTAAAATCTGTGAATTCAGTAGAGTTAGCTGATACACAGTCTGTTTCAGTTGAAGATCATAGCAGTCAGCTCCTGTTATAATTTTGGGGTTTTAATTACTTATACCAGTAGGGTGTTTGAGGAGGTAATGGGGCCGGAGGGAGAAGATGTTGGCTTCAGCTGAAAAAAGCCTATGGAAAGGTCAAACTGTGGCAAGAGAAGATTGTAGTATGAAATTATTCCCAGTATATGCATATAGCAGACATGCATAAAGAGTAATTTCCTCTTGCATATTAAGCAACAAGAATGTGATGTTTATCTTCTTGAACAAGTTTGTGGTATATAAGAACTCAGCTGCTCCACATGCAGTGTTGTACTTTGACCAGTTTCAAGGAGAATCAACTTAATGCTATAGCATACACACAGCATATGCTTTTACATGACAAGTGGATCACAGTTAAAAACAAAATTCTGCTTTTAAGTGCTTGGATAGAATTTTTAAAAACTTAGACATAATCCTGCTATAAAATGTGCTTTTGTATGATAAATATTTCATACCATCTTTCTAAAAATGTCATATTTAGATATAAAGCACCACAATGGTATTTTTATGAAAATAATGTATTTTAATACTGTTATGGTTTGTATACAATTACTCATGACCAAAAGTTTAATGTCTATTATGTTACTTAAACTACACCACTTCAGCATTAATTTTGAACTTGCAAATTTTTTTTGCACACCCTGATGAATAGCATTTCTAATCCAGAAATGAATGTGGCCATTCTTGTACTAAATTATCTTAAATATTTAACCTGGAGCACTGTGTAGTTTCTTGGAACCATGTAAGCTGGTAACAACTATGATAACTATCACATGACCGCAAATATGTATTTTTATAAAAGAAAATAAAGGGTTTGATTTTTATTTTTTTCTTTGGAAGTTATGTGACTTAGATGATGGGTGTGATTTGATTGTTTTCCCCCTCTCCTGTGTAAGCAAAGCTGTTCTGCAGGTTGCAGTGACTGCGCCTTGTCTGACTTGATGAAGCTGTACCCCTTAGGTGACCGGAAACACCTGACGTGATGGAGCGGTGGTGTAGTTTGATCATGCATCATGGCTGTAATATGATAGAGCTGCAGGAGCCTGAAGAAAGCAATTGGCAGGGACTGGCTTCCAAGCAGAATTTATCCAATCTTCAATCTATTTCCTGTACACATCTGAGAGGCCCTGGAGCGACACGGTAGTGGGAAGTTGACTGCAAGCAAAGCTCAAATTGGGTTTCTTTAATGGAGTTGCTATTAGTTTAAATCTCTGAATAACTAGATGCTTAAACAGAATTAGAATCTTGTTCAAAAGAAAAGCAAAAAGAAAAGTTGTACTGGGTTGTTTGCTGTGTTCATCAGTGACTTGTAATGCTTTAGTAATGGTGGTTCAGAAGGACCTGAACCTATAACTACACATCTAGGCAAAATACAGTCACTACAGCAGAAGCAGTTTCCTCATTGCAGGTTTCTGACCTTGTCCTCTCTGCAGTCCTTTCACACTGAGTATGCATATTTTGACTAGGGATGCTTCAGCCATTCATAGTGTTGCAGCAGAGGAATTGTTTCAGCTGCAGAAAGTAGTTGCTGGAATTTTCCCACCCTGGTTTTGGTTTTGTTTTGGTTTTAACTCAATGTGCTTAAAATATAGGTAAAGAGCTTGTACTAACCCTCATTCATCTGAGGCTCGATGGCTAAAGGGCAGTGCAAAAAAACTACTAGTTTCAATAACTTTGCTTCAGTTGTCATCTGACTTTTAAAAAAGAAATAAATATTATATATGTATGTATACACACACGTCTTTTGGACCACGATGGGAAAAAGTCCCTAACTGAAGGAGAGAATACCTGGGTGATTAGAAAGGGTCCTAGAAAAGAGGTAGCAATTAGTGTAGCAAGAGCATAAACTGGACATGCATAAGCTTTGGGACTTCTCAGATTTCTTTTAAACAACGTAAAAATAATGCCAAGAACCAAAACACAAGATAAAGTGCAATCAAATACAGTAAAGGTGCAGCCAGTCCTTTTACAGTGCTGCCATCTGTGCCCTGAATAGAGGGGAATTAGTCGAAAGTATGTTGTGAATAATAGTTGTGTATGATTATACAGGGCAACCCCTTATGTTAATGTTGAAATGCTGACTGTTGACAATCGCTTTGCAAGCAAATGTTTGTTAGATTGTACTCAAACAACTGAAATAATGAAAGGTATCTAGTAATGACCTAGCTATAGTAACAATATGCCAGCTTGGAGGTCTAGAAAGTAACTTGATTTCCAAGAGAGTCCTTCAAATATTTTGTAGTACACTTATCCTCAGCTAAGTTGAGGGAAGCTTAACTTTTCTGGCCAAAAAAAAAAAAAAAAAAAAAGTGTAAATACAGAGTGCTCTGAATAGAAAGTATTGGAAGCCTAAAATGGGACTCCTTAAAACTGTCAGGAAATTGAAACAGAGTAGTTGATCAGGTTCATATTAACATATTAGGCTGGATTAAGTTAACTGGATTAAGTTAAATATGCTTTATTTGGAATTTAAGATTGAAAGCTACATTTTTATAAAATTTAAAACAGAATTTTCGTGCAGAAGAACATAATTTAAAACTTGAGGAAGATTTTCAATGTGACACATAAGAGCAGCCTAAGTTGAGTCTTACAGTAACCTACTGTTTGGTACTGACTCTATCAAGACCATTAGAGATGGTTTTTTTCTTTAATGGAGGATCAGTAAACGGCTTCTGTTTGAAAAATGTTAGCTTTTGTGTACGGACATCGTTTTTAATTGGCATAGGTAGGCCATAACTCCCTTGAAAATTTTTAGGTTTTTTGATTGAACCAATGCTTCCTTGGGATAGGGAGCTCAGTCACTCGAGTGCATTAATTAAATGCAGCTTAATTATCACCATACTATGGGCTTTTTAGAGTAGCTGTGCAAGAAGCTGTTACGGCTGGTTATGAAATCAAACATACCTCTCAAAAATAGCACGTTTCGAATAAACCATGGCTTGGTTCAGTTTCATTCCCGTATTGCTTCCCTGTGTCTGTCTGCTGCCTCCCGGCCCAGCACAGCCCTCCGCTGCCCGGTGCCGCCTCGGCTCTGCGGCCTCCGGCAGGCTGCCCGGCCCCGGGTCACGGGAACAGGGGAAGAAGGAGATCCTGCAGTAATCGCTGCTGCTGTGAAAGAACCAATTTTTGTGTGTTTGGGGGCGCTCTGAGGATTATTTTTTTTTTTTACCCCCAAACCCCTATGTCTGTCTTTTGCGGCGCTTCGGGGGAAGAAGCGGCTGCCTGCCGCGGCTCCCCCCGCCCCC